TGTGCTGCGGTTGTGAATATTTCAGATGGCGGTGTGGTTTTTAAATTACCCCCTTTTGGCTTCCGCTCTCCTCACATGGTTTGGTCTGCATTTCTCTCTCACACACGGTCCGACTCGTAAAGAAAACAGCGACAAGCCATAAAAGCCACTTTTACCAGCTGACAAGGACAGGGCCAGGAAGAGAGGTAGGGCAAGGAGTTAAGGCCTGCCAGGTCATTTCATACTCCTGCAGAAAAGTCTAATCCTGCATCTAGAATGTTGGAACTTAAAGAATCGCTTTGCCCGCACTCGGAAAAGCTCTTCATAGCCTGCATATTTTTGGAACAGATTTTGATATCTATACCCTGTTACTCTGGACAATCCACAGACATCATTATGAAACATTTTCATTCTACCAACAAAAATGCTCTTTCCCTCTTAGTGCTGTCAGAGCACCATAAAACTTAGAAAAGGACATCTGAAAAATCTACATTAACTAAACCAAAAATATCTGTAAGGGTAAATACCATTGGTAGTAAAAACCGCTTTAATTTTATGGTGAACCTACCCTAAGAAGCCTCTGATGCATGCAGGTATTTTGCTTTCATTGTGTCTGAAGTGAACTTTGCTCACTAAAGTCTCTGCAGTCAGTGTTTACTTTAGTGTCAGACAAACCACAGTCAAGAAATCAGGATGTCTCCCATCGATGGCACAGAAACCCCCTGATGAATGGAATGATGGGTTGCCATGGGGACTGCTGCCAAGCGGGGGCCCATGCGGTCCTCCGAGGGAGAGAGAGACCTAGCACGTCGAGGCAGGTCATTCATAAGCAGAGACAAAGAGAAGGAAACGGCAACACCAGCTCGGGCCATTAACAGCCTGCCAGGCACACATGCATGCTCACACGCACATGCACAGCGCAGTATTATAACAACACATAAAAACAGTCACGAGGAGAAAAGAAATGGCACATTCACGCCAGTCTTTAAGGCAGTTATACACAAATAGTCAAAAGTGGAAAGAGTTAATTTGCTGGCTTTGTGGCACAAAAAGTCTTGGAACACCAGAGTGACTTTACAAGCCAATCAATCTTCAGAAAATGAAAGGGTACAATACTGTATATTGAATGGTAAGGAAGTCAAAACAAGTGGGAATACTGAGACAGAGAGATGATTTATAGGTTTAATGATAGTGCACATTATTTATTCTAGATCTGCTACCGCCAAAGAGTTCTTTCTTCTTACACTGAGCTACCGTTCCCTAAGCATCAAGCGATCAACAAACAGAAAACACAGCATCCCTCCAACACAAACACAGAGGAGGCAGCTCCGCATCAACACATAGTTGAAGCCGCTCTTTTATCTACACTCAAAGCCATATAAAGAACGTAATCCCTTGTGTGTGCCTGCCATCCACACATTAGCGCACAGAGATGTAATTATAGCGCTATTCTGCCAGTGTTTGTGTCTAATTAGAGTTATTTACATTTTCCCTCTTTTTCTCTGTCTTCTGAGTGTGCGCCTATGCATGTCTGTCACCCAGCCAATATTTCAGCGCGTGTGTTTAGGGTTTGTGTATATCAGCGTACCCGTCGTCAAGCATTAACATGAAAATGAAAGATCATAAAGAAGAATGGCCTCCCGTCTTTGCCAGGGTTTCATCGGCTCCCCTGCAGGTACTACCACACCCTCCCCTCCCCCTCCCCATCCCCCTCCTCCTCCTCCTCCTCCTCCTCCTCCTCCTCCTTACCTCCTGGGGTGATACACAAGCGAACACCTCTCTTAACCGTCCTCTCACCCCCACCACGTGATACGTGCACGTAAGACATTAACGAAAGCAACACCCCTTCAAACAAGCCTGTGTTGTTGCCGCCATTTGTTTGTGGCAGCAACAAGCAACACGGTAATCAAAAACCACAAAATACCCCTTCGCCTCCTCCTCCAACCCCCCATCCTGAGCCCAAACCAGATGCTATTACCCGGGGCCAGCTATCAGGCTAACTGCTCTTCACTCCTCCAACTCCGCTCACCTATCGCTCGTCCCTCACTCCTTCCTTCCTCCTGCTCTCCCACTGCGAAAGACACTAATTACAGACATGGATGAGTAGATTACAGATCTGAAGTGCAGTGGAAGTGGGATGAGGAGAAGTCAGGGGTGGTGGGCTGGGGGCAACAGGTCGTTAACAGTGATGAATGCAACTCTATTTTCACTGTTATTGTTCACTGATGTTCTTCGCAGCACCTCTCACCTCCCGGCCGCTGTTCCCATGCCTTCTCGACGACGCCATCCATCACAGGCAGCTTTAACTAACTCTAACTATCTCTAATCATCTCCAATCAATTCCAATTATCTCTCCGCTGCCTCTCATGCATCAGTGTCGCTGGTATCTCTCCGGCATGGGAAGGGAAGCAGGAGTGTGGATAAAGAGATAGGCTTTTAGAACAGAAAGCAGAAAACGTAACTGAAATGAAAATAAAATGAAATATATGTGCACTACCTCCTTTTGTATGAAACAAGATGCACATTTTCAAACTTCTTAGGTTTGAGCAACCTTGCTATTAAAAATGATGTAACATTTGTTCATTTTGTATATTAGTAGGTTTTGTTAGCCATTTCACATCTGTGTTATAGCAAGACCACTCTTTATTTTCCCTTTGTAGTGGAACCTCATTACCCAATTAGCTTAATGACTGCATGGAAGTGGAGTGTTTAAAAACTCCCCACAAATCAACAGTCTTCTACTCATTAAACAACAGCCTTTTATTAACCCAGCTAGCTTTTCCTTAAAAGTTTAATGAGAGCAACCATCTCATCTGCTATCCCCCCCTCTTCCATCCCCTACGTCCTTCTTTCTGTTTGTCCTCTCAGCGGGACGTCTAAGACAAATAGCCACTTTGTTATACAAAGCTTTTCCCCAAAACCTCCCTCCAGAATGAGCAGAATGAGAGGGAAAGAGGGGAGTCTGAGAGACGGAGGGAAAGAGTGTTAAAAAGTATAGAAAAAAAGGAAAGGGGCAATTAATCCTGCGTCCAGGAGAAGAGAAACCATCTGGGTTAGCGCTCCACCTGAGGGCAGCAGGCTTTCACATTAACCTCTCTTGTTAGGATCATAAAGACAGACCCTAACAAGCCCCCGTGAGCACTTTGAGCAAGTGAAAAGAGTCACACACACACACACAAATACATAACGCAACCAAGACCCTGTTTCTCCTTCTATCTATGTCTCTATCTCTTTTTCTCTGGTATCCTCAGAAAAACACACACACACGAAAAAGCGCAAAAGTCTTCCTCTGGGAGCTGAGAACCTTTTAAGTCCATTAAAAGCTGCTGGCGGGAGCGAGACAAGGCTGTAACCTAACCGCATCAGACTGGAACCAGAACCCACCGCGTGGCCCAGACACGCCGCTCAGGAGTTAAGAAACGCATTAGGAAAAACCTTTGTCTTCTACCGCTGTTCCTGATCCCCAGTTACTGGACCTAATTTTTAACAAGCACTAGAAGTCTTTCATGAAGTAACAGCTGTCAATCAAACACCAGCACCTTAAAGATGGCATTATTTTAAATCCATGGCCCAGGATTGCACATTTGTTTTAACTGCTAAAGAATGTAAGGCACCTCCACACTTAAAAAGCTTTAAGGCCCATTACGGTTCTCTTTCATCCAGCCAAGGATAGAGAACAAATGAGTGTATACAGAGACACATAGCGAATCGATTAAGCAATGTTAAACAAAGTCTCCAGAATGTGGCAGGAAAAGCCAGCGCTAGGTTTAGAATAATGAGCGTGAAGTTAGATTGGATGAAACAGGGGAGCTGTGTTAGTACAATCCTCTGGTTGTTGGCAGAGCCCGCCGCTACATATGGACTAATCACACTTGTTCAAGGCCATCCGTTGGTCTGGAAGGCCTCGGTCTGCTCTGTGTCTATTCCAGCTAGACAGACAACCCAGTGCTGCTCAGCTTATCCCCAGAAGATGAGTCCTTGCCCTAAAGCCCTGCAGGTTGTTGTTGGCCTAATGGTAGGTGAGGTGAGGCGATAGTTGCAAGGAAGTGACAGATAGATTCAAGATGGTGTTAAACATCAAAAGCAAGATAAACAGATGGAGGGCTGAGGCCGGGATCATGGGTTAGTTGTACCACTACGTGGATTGAAGGGAGGGAAATTATTTTTCCATGTCCCACTGTTTCATTATTCCCAGATGCTACAAGTAATCCGAACTGGAATAATGGAAGCTGGAATGATCCGCTAGCAAAGGGACACTGATTGTCTCAGAGAAATAAACGAAATGGAGTCTTGCAGCAGAAGGGAATAAAAGTTTAGCATTACTGTGGGATTGTCTTACTGCATGGGGCACACCAGTGTCACAGTATGGGGGCGTGAGACAGCACAGGATTGGCTATAAAACGTGGAAACTGAATGAAAACTGTGATGACACATCTTATTCAAAATATGATTGAAGGATGTGATTCTACTGGCAGAGTGAGCTTTGGGGACTTCTCCTGTGACATAAAACGACCTCATTAAGGAACACAGACATCCTTTCACCCTCAAAGTTGAATGTGGCAGTCAGTTATAGTCCCAATGTCACACCAACTCCCTTTCAGCGGAGTCTCTCGCAGACAGACTCAGAGGAACTGCAGATGACTTGGCACAAAGGCCCAACAATGTGCAAAGAACTCAGATTTCCGATCATCCAGCAGCTTTACAATGGAAATCACAGTGCACACTTCACAAACTTCACCTAATAAGTCTGAATGTTAATGACATCTGATGGAATTCCAGAAAAGAGAAATTGAAGCTTTATTGTCCTTCAATTATATTTAGACCAGGCCGAATCAAAGCCAACATTCTTCCGACTTTTTGAAACCATGCTGTGCAGTATATTGTTGTAGCACATACGGTCTCCGAGCAATATCGGTGGCTTGCATAATATGGAAAAGACAAAGAGAGATGGCGTGTGTGTGTGCTTACAAATAACAAAATCAGTGTGCTCAAATGAAATAAAAAAAACGGAATGTACTTACAGTCGAGACAGGGCAGGGTTCTTCTGAAACAGCAACTCAGGAAGCTGCTGCAGTTGATTACGGTTCAGCCGCCTGCGGCAGGGAAAACATGTGATCAACCGGTGAATTTGTGTGTGTGTGTGTGTTTCTATGCATGCGTGCCCTTGTGTAGGCTGTGAATAATTTCTGCTAGCTGCCGGAGAATCGACTTAGCCACAGGCTATTGTGTTTCAGTGTGCTCCGAATGTCACATAAATATCCAACTGAAAGTTCAGGGGAATTAAACTTCTAGTCAGAGACACCGCCGTAAATTATCTCTGCACAGTTAAATTACGATGCTGCGCCGAGTAGAACTTAGTGCTCTGCTGACTTTCTCAGAGCAACGGAATTGCAGCATTTCCATTTAAACAGGCGAATTACATCCACCAGTTATCTGAGCATGAACAGATTTTATCGTGGGAGAACTATCGAAAAAAGATGTTTCTAAATAAAAAAAAATGAGAAATGGATGCGACTATTCAAGCCAAAGGAAGCACTGACAGGAATTGTGGTTGGCAACGTCAAACAACTAACGTCCAGGACTTGCAGGCTTTATGCAAATACAACAATTAAGTCAATGAGAAACAGACTGTTGCTAATCTGTTGGAAACCACAACTCTCTTCTCCCTGAATGGCCCATTGGAGGCACATGGGAGTGAATGCAGCGGCTGTGGCACTGAGAGGCTGCAAATATGAGAGGCAGGCCGCTGCCATTCCTTGAGACACATTCAGACAGATGTTGGGACCTGCGCCACTCACTGTATACACTGACAAGGGTGCTTGGCCAGCTGAGGTGGAGATTTAGTGCCTAATGGGCATTAATGGTCTGCTGTACCTGCTGCTGGGTTAGTGGCTTTTAAACATTAGAGAAACGAGCCGCTTAATTTCCACATTGGTCTGGCAAACGGATATGTCTACCCAATGTTTGGGATCAGTTGAACTCGAAGGAGTAAGGGGAGGGGGGGCGAGCTGTACACGTCTGGAGTATGGTAATGTAAATTGTTAATGCGGGTTTCAGATCTGGGGAAAGTCTTTTATAAGTTAACCACTGTGTGTGCATGACGGCATGTGTCCTTAAAGTCATCTGCTGTGCAGGCTTCCATGCGGCTAGCACTATTGATTTGCTAATGAGCTGGTTGAGGTGTGGTCGGCTGTGTTTGTCTGTGTGTTTTCCCAGTCGGTTTACAAGCTGCTGAGGAGTCCTGGTGCTGTCCAGATGAGCCAGGGTCTGTGGTGGGGGAGGCCTCTTAAGCCCACATATCCCACTGAGGGCATTCCTGTCAGGCAAGGCTAATAAAAAAAAATACTCCCAGCCTACGCGGTACCCTCTCAGCACCATCCGACCACAAAGGAATGACCAGGAAGTGCCTCACACTTGATACACCATCCATGGTCAGTTCCTCCTGTTAGTCTCATCACACATTACTAATCCAAGTACTGGATATACATCAGTATTAGGGCTTTGACATAAGAGGAGGGAAAAAAAGTGTTATTTCTGATCAGGCTTTCTACAGACAATGCTGGGTGGTACTCACAGTCTCTCCAGCTCCTTCATGTCATCAAAAGCTCCACGCTCGATCACAGTAATCTGATTCTCCATCAGCTGCCTGCAAAGAGGAGGGAAAGAGAGCCTTTAGAGACAATGTGATACAGTGTGGCTTCAGCTTTTTTTTTACGAGTCTGTAAAAGGTCACTCAGGCTTTAACAAAGTAAAGGGGGCTTTGGGTGGCGGGCTTTTTTGCAGCACGTATATTCAAACTGGATGCAGTGTATTTATCACACACGCACGCACAGAGGAAAGTGGTGTGGACTGAGGGCACAGTGTGGAATCTTGGCACAAGAAGCAGGAATAGCAGCCAGGAAAGTTTCTAAGGTGGCTTAGAAAGTGTGGGCTCGGGCTCTGGTGTGGTCCACTGGGTGAAGGGGCTGGGTGGAGACGAGACGAAAAGGTAGGCAGGGGGTCAGAAAGTGCAAGAGGGGAAACTGAGGTGGTCTCCAGAGTTTTCACAATTGGCACAATCAAGGGAAAGTCAGCTGTGTGTGTATGTGTGCCTGTTGGAGAGTATCAAAGTCGCAGGCAGTACATCAAAGCGATTAGTCACACACAAACAAACAAACTTACTGTACACACACACAAGCAGGAACACATCCTTTCCTCACCTACATTGCCAAAGCTAATGCACCCGAAAAAAAAAGGTTTGGATGGTTTTGGAAGTGTTACAATAACACAAGGCCAGGAAGGAGAGAAAAGCGTCCAGCAGCTTTAGAAGCAACAAGAGCTTTCCTTCATTACGTATACAACTGTTCTGTGTTGAAGGCAACCTCTCATGTCTCCTGTGACGCCGCGCTGCAACTCAGCAGTCTGGGCTTCCTCCCCATCGAATATAAATGCTAATCACTGCTCGGACTCCATAAACATAGAGAAAAGTGCAATTCACCTCCGATCTCTTTCTCATGAATTTAGATGGAAGGAAAAAAATGGATCACTACTTTTGATTTGAGATAAACTTCTTTTTTTTTTATCGCACTCTTCCGCCCAATTGTTCCTCTATTGTTCCAAACACACATTCATGAAGTAGACGAGAAGTGCCAGACGAATGGCGGTAAATCAACTGTGTTGATTTTAGACTGACAGGATAGATGGCAGCTGACTGTAAAGATAAACTTCTGTTCCTTTCCGGCTCCTTCTGAGGGTTGCTAAGGGGTCAGGGGTTAACCCTCTGTTAGTCTTTATGCTGTTGCCCAGTGGAGGTCACGCCCCGGTACACGGAGACAGAAATGTGTTTTCTCACAGACATGCCATGCACCACCACCTAACCATGTAATCATACATCCTGTATATAGTTGGATGACATTTCAGAAAGTGAGCATGTGGCCTGGAGGGAGTTATAGGCTTTACAGCTAAAAAGGGCTGTCTTTAGTACCCCTGAAAGGTGTTGTTTCCTTTTTTTCTTGCTCGTGACAAGGTGCAGACATGAAGGCATTTCATCTCCACATGGAGGTAGAAGGTGGTGCAGGAAAGGGGACATGCATAGGAAGGCCTTAAGTGACAAGAACAGTTGGAACAGAAAGGCCAACTAATGATAAGGAGTGAAAACAGTCTGGCTTTGCTGTGTTGTAGGAATTATGTGCAGCTTGTGATACATTTAAAACATGTTCAGGTCTCCAAAGCTTCCTCTCTGGCAGTGTTTTTAAACACTTAGGCCCTACTCACAAGTATGTGTGTGCTCCTATGCACATATATAGTCACTTTTACAACTACTTTAATACCTAAAGTCACAAGTGCTGTTTCATTTCAACACAGAGGGAGTCAATGACTTTACCTGAATGTGTTAACTGTGTGGAGAGCCTATTTAGGACTGGCGCTTGTGTACACATTACATGTTGATGTGTGGGAACAGAGGGCAAGTGAGCGAATGTGCGTCTAAGGGACAATAAGTGCCACTACAACATACAGAATACAGTGTGACAGAAGTCCATTACTCCGCTGGCTGCAGTCATTCAGTAGCTTAATGTACTCTGGAGTAGGACTCTCGACAGAAGCATCTCCACTTCACTGGGTTTATGCTAATTTGAGCAGCAAGTCTGTACAATGTGTGAGCTGCAAGGTTAGATACAGCTCAGGTATGCATGAATAGATAAACTCATACATGGACATGCACCACAGATACACATACAAACATGAAGGCAAGTACTTACAGAACTCGGATGTACTTGAGTCCAGCGAAGTCACTCTTGGTGATGCGTGTGAGGTTATTCCCATTCAGCTCCCTGAAAAGACAGACATGCAAACATATATGAATATTTCATTTTCATTTTCCCTCCGAACCTGTTCAGTCTGAGGACTTCAGTGGCACGGATGCATCTATGTCTACTGATACCTGAATCAAAATGTTATTTGGATCTTAGCAACACACATAACCAAACACTTCAGGCACACAACACACACACACACACACACACACACACACACACACACACACTGTGCTCCAAGTTGTTTGCTATAGCATACTGAAAATGTCTTAAATGAAATGCAAATGGCTCTAGATGTGAAATGTAACATATAATGACGGGTGGAATCAGAAAGGTCGTGTTTGAGGGAAGTTCAAGCTCAGCTCTTACTCTACTGGGAGCTTTTAAGAAGTTCTATTAAAATGGAAGCCACATTTGAGCTGCCTGTTTGTCTTTCTATTCCAGCCCTCTCCCCCCATCACCCACTAACCCCCTCTCTCTCTGTCCTTCTACTATTGGTGAGGATTAGCAGGAGCCAGCGGAGGGGATTTGGGTAGGGCCACAAGGCCAGAAAGCTAAGTGCTGGGGATATAATGGAAGCAGCCTCCCTGCTGAGAGCTGGCCATCGCTGCAAAGGAAGGGAGGGACAAAAAAGTCAAAAAGGAGAGGTTTCGAATTTACTGTTGGGTTCTTACAAGTTAGCCATCAAGTGTTGTGTACGACTTTAATTGTAGCATGCTGAACTCGACTGTTGCCCCCTCACTGGTTCAGACCCCTCTGCTGATATAGGAGAGGTTTGTATTGTCCTGCCGTGCCATATAACAACTCAGTCGCAGATTGTTTTCTCATAACAGGGAAAAGAGAGCAAGCAAAGCACGCAAAGATTTCGTTGTGCTACTGCTCTGTCCACAGGATTCTAAGTCCACCCTAACCTGACTCCCCAACCCCCCAACCCCCCAACCCAAAACCGAAAAACTGGATCCAAATCAACGCCGAAAGCACCGGTCTCTCTCCCTGAGTCACTCTCTCCTTCTCTGGTCTAATGACCACTCCAGGGACTGTAGCGCAATGCAGTACGAAAGAGAGCGGTCATTATAGACAGATGGTGAGCGTGTGGGTGTGTGGGTGTGTGTGTCTGTGTGTGTGCGTGCGTGCATGCATGCATGAGTGTGTGTGTGTACACAGGTGCATCGACAGGCCAAGCGACAGGGCCACGGGAAATAAATAATGGACTGGGCTTCATTAGCCCGGGCTCCGATACACACACATGTGGTGCTCATTACAGGTGCTTACGCAGATAGGCACACACACATCATACTGTACACCCACGCACATACTTCTGGATTCCCAATGTCTTATCTTCAGGGTGGTCATTGCTGAAGACACCCGGAGGACAGTAAAAAGGAGAAAGATAGAAGAGGGGAAATCGGAGTAAGATGGTTAGAGTGCGGGGTGGCAGGGGGAATATGTGGAAAAATGTATCGCTCTTGAAAAAGTGAAACCCCACTTTTTCCTCTTCCAGCAATGAGGTTTTGCTTTATCCTGTAATAGGAGACCTGCAATAGTTTCTGCATGTACTCCAGGGTTGATTAATCTAATCTCTTATGCAGCAACATCTTAAAGTGTTTTGTTAGCTGAGATCTAGTAACTGACCTACATGTATTATTCCTGGAAACGTATTTTCCCGTTGAAAATATTCGTTTTAAAAAACACATTTGCCATGCACCTGTTCAACAATGCCATGACATTTAGGCAGTGCTCAAATGCCACCAGCAGCTTATGAGGTTTTAGCTAGTCAGGATTCACACTGTTTATGACATATTCTGACCTTTTCCATTGGCATTTTGCAACCGAAACCATGCAATGTTTTCAACTCCTTGTGCAGGTGATAATCAGGTCTTGAAAATTGCCCCTTGGATTGATGAGTTCTGTATGTTGGCATTACCTTCTAAAGTTACTCTTATACTGCTCTGTAAAAAGCATGTGTTGTCCAAATAAAGTGGACCAATCTGTTGATATTTGGTGCCATGGAAGTATTCTGTCTCTGGAGAAATATTCCAATGTACTCCCTTGTTTGTGACAATGGTCCTTGATGTAAAGTAACTTGGATTCACAACAACCGGGAAGTCATTTCTGCATGAGCACGCACACACTGAAACTGAAGTTTTCCATGGATCAAGATAAATCTAGGTGAAGCCACAACTTAAATACAGAAAGAGAAATTACTCTATGTGTGCAAAAAGTCTGGAGTTTGGGGTAAACGGTGCTTGTCTTTGTGTAGAGTCCATGTCTAAATAAGGGCACTATATGCCAAAGTAATATATGATGTCAATGCCTCAAAGCTAAATCTGCTGTTTAATAAGTCACGGCTACTTTCTTTGTTTTACAATCAAAGGAGGCTAAGCAATGACTTTTGGCACAGCAGCAAAGGCACGTTCAGTCCTTTCATTGACAGATGTTTTGTTATACCAACTTAGTTTGGTTTTCCCATTACAGTACTATCATACCCAGTTAATACAGCAAGGGATTTGCACCCTTCAACTGCTTCAGTCAAATCCATCCCATCCTCTGGAAACTCTGCAAGGATTCCCTATGCTGACACACTTCCTGGAGAGCTAGTGGATTTATGACATCACTATCTAATCCCTCTTCATCTTCCGAGCTGATTGATGCCTGGGAGTACTTCCTGGTGCACCTTCCCTCGGGTTGACACGCGGCAGCTATACTCCAACACTCCACATCTCTATAATTCAAAGGGGCTCAGGGCGCTGCTACAATGCTGAAAAACTCATTATGTTTATTTCTAGCAGCTGCTGGGGTCTCAGGGCTGAGGGGGACCTGGTTTGTATTGAGCAACATTTCATGAAATAAAAACCCAAGACGAGAGGGAGAATAAGCAAACAGACTGGCTCACTAAGGCCCTCGTACAGATGTAGTCTCACCAATAATGTACAAAAATCCACATGTGCAATGTTTCTTACACACATACACAAAGACCATATACACATACGGTATCAAGGAGTGAACACAAGCACTCCTACTCGCATGTACACAAACAGTACCCGTGGGAAAGGCAATGTTGCTCTGTTGGGAGCTGGTGAGAGCAAAAGAAAATAATGACCACAAGAGAAACTACTGTTGGCCGAACAGCTTTCCACCATGATAATCTATTTATGGAGAGCTGAAATGTGGAATATTACAGGTTAGCAAACAAGGCGATGTGAGCTGTCAGAAAAATATGGAAGACCACTCTAAGGTCTCACACATCTTTTAATCTGTCCATTTTAAGTGCTCTTTTAAATTGCTGCCACACTGTGGATTTGGATCATTAAAAATATTATGCTGAAACTCTTCTCTTCTCTTTACTTCTCAATACAGGGGAAAGACTTAAGTACAAACTTCAGTTCAATAATCCTATGCTTGCAGGCATAAAATAATTCACAATAAAAAACGTACTTCTCACAGACTGTGACAAAAGGAGCCAGGTTAGCAAACATCCTTAGCAAGCTTACAACAGCCTTTTACAAGTTGAAAATAGTACTTGTTTTATCAAACACTTAATTTGCTGTCCTAACACTCACACACACTCACTTACAGTTAAACTAGCAAGAACAAACTCGAGTAGCTACTTGATAATCCATTATCTAAAAGGTCAAACTTGGCGAGTGTTGCTATGTATAAGGTCAAAGTTCATTCAGACTGATAGATTTACAATGCATACAAGTAAGGATTTTGATGGGGAATCGAACACATCTTTCCCACTTTACACTGACTAATCAAGATGCTTATATTTGAGCAGTGCAGTCATTCTGAATCGCTGATGTTAGCACCACAGGACCATTTGTCCTGAACAGCTTTAGCCTGGCAGGGAAGACAGAAGCCAGCTGATAGAGGATCGGTGGCACAGAGCTTTCCAAACTCCTCGCTGTGGAAAGAATCTGATGATCAGAAGCCTGAGGTCATGTACAGACCGAGCGTAGATGCTCATTAACTACAGTCACACAGTGATGATGCTATTTGACCGGACCAGCAAGCGCTGTCCCTAATGAATGAACTGAGCAGGTTGAGAAGCTGCGGAAGAGTAAAGAATGTATTTCTCCGAACTCTGCGACATATGGACGTGACAGCCGTGAAGCACGCAGGAGGAAAGTAAGGGGGGGGGGGGGGGGGGGGGGGGGAGAAAGAGGCACTGAGAGACAGATAGAAGACAGAGCTGCTGTGACAATGTTGTTAGCTGCCTGAAAGCGACGGAGTGGAGCAGTGTGGTGGAGTGTTGCGCGTGGCAGTGAGGAGCTGACGGGCTGTCGGGGAAACGTCAGTGTAGCAACGAGGCCTGGTAGACTATGAAGTGAAAGTGACCTACATACTAGGTGAACCAACAAGCTACAGCACCAGGCAGTACCATCTGGGTTTACAACAACCTCATACACAAGATACTGAGGAAGTGAAAGAAAGAGAGATAGAGAAAGCCGACCACCACCACCACCAAAATAACACCCTTTAATGCAACTGGAACAATTCTGTCCGCACTAAGAGGTTAGATTTCTGTTCAACTTGAACGCCACATTCCCTCTACATTGAAATGTGGCTTTCAGACAGTCAGTTAAGTCCCTCCACTGTACATTTTTAGCTAGTGTGTGCGTCAGCAAGCATAAGTGTGCATGTGTGTGTGTGCAAAGACGTCTAAGAGTGTTTTCCCCAGCTCCTGGGCTCCTCAAGGGTTATTTACCGTTTTGATTCTGCTCAGTCAGGCCTCAAGAGCAGGTTTTCTGATAAGAAAGGTAAACACCAAGCAGATCCTACACACACATTGCACACAGACACAGACAAACTCAATAAACCACTTCTCGGAGCCTTGACCGGTGCAGGGTCCCCTGCATTTTGAAGAGCCTTCATCATGTTATGAACGGCTACAGGTAAAAGTCAAGGACTAAAACCCAAGCCTCTTTCTTTTGCTGTTTTTTATCTGGCCTAACACTACAGCAACCTTGAAAATGAGATTCTGAATGTTTTCATGAAGCAGATGCTGCTGTCGGCAG